ATACCCGTAATGAGGGACATAGCCTGCAGGTGGCGGAAGCTGCGAGTTATACTGCGTCTGGTCGTATGGCGGAGCGCTGGCAGGTTCGTACAGAGAGGGATAGGTAAAAGAGGGCGACGTGGCACGCGAGTTGCGGGAACTGCCAGATCCGTTGGTGTACGATGGCCCAGACGACCTCAGCGACCTCGAAGACGTGGTAGATCCACCTCCCCTGCGGCTATCTCTCTTGTCACCACGGGTAATTGGGCCCGACCACTCGCTCTCCGTAGGTGCCGAACTGGCAGAATCGTCCAGATCTCCGATGCTGCTGCCGCGGCCACCGCTCGTCGAGCCTGATCCAGACACCAGGCTGAAGGTGGACGAGCTCGCGCTCATGTCCTTCTCCTTCTCCTTCTCTTTCTCTTCGAAGCCCATGAAGATCCTCGAGCGCGCTTCGTTGTACGCAGCCTCGCGCTCTTCTATAGTCTTGAACCGTTTCGCGGCAGCACTGGCCGCATTGCTGCGGCTCCCGATGCTACCAGCCTCCGATGCATCCACATCAGATGTGTCGGCATCCTCCCCTGCGGTGGATCCGGGCTGAGAGTGTTGGCGTCCTCTAGGACGACGCATGATCTGGATTGTAGGCTGGGCCGACTCTTCAGCCGGAACCAGCTCACAAATGCGTCGTGAAGGGCTTGGGACAATGTGAGCACAAGCCACGGACCATGGCAACAAGAGTCATTACGTACATGCGGCTATCTGCGCGACAGTATACAACGATGTTCTTCGTGATGGGATCCGTCTCGGGGGAAAGCTTGTAATACGCAGAACAGCGGTGCACGAGAAGCCTTTGATACGACGTCGCGGGCGTCAGGTCAATGCGCACTCTGGGAGAAAACAACAACGTCAACGATCCATCCAATAATCATACACATACGGTGCCACAAAGAGCGGTATCTTGGGTGTCAACGTTGAACGTTGACCACGAACTAAGCATCACCGTGATAGAGAACAGCGCTGCGCCGTCGTGTGACGCTTGTAGGCCGAGGTATCAAGGGCAGCGCCGGTCCTAAACTCAACTCACCTACGATCCTTAATCAATGCCTCCATCTGTTCGCCCAGCTTCAATACGTAGATTCGATCCTTGCTACTTCGAAGCGCCTCCAGTATCTGCTCGTCTGGCTCCGGGTCAAGAGGAGCGCCCGTGGCCACACTAGACCCTCCAGAGGTCGTCGCCGGCGCGTCCGACTTAGCAGCGGGAGATGGGGCATCTGAGGCCGTGTTTGGCGAAGGCGAGGATGAGGATGAAGGGCTCAACGAAGACGATCGTGGTGCTGGGACATCGGGGGCGCTCAAACTGAAGCTTGAACCTGAACTGGCTGTGGTCGCAATGGTGGAGATCGACGGCGGACCAGGCATCGGCGATCTAGAAGTTGGACGAGCTAATGGTCTAACTTGCGCGTGGCTCATAGCTTCAGGCGGCTGGACGGCAAGCTCTGCGAGGTGGCAAATGAAGGGACGGAGAGTTTCAGCGTAAAGAACGGGGAGAAGAGAGCTTGTCTCGCCCGTGGTGACGAACGAAACTCGCGCTCATGGATAAGATCAGCCGCAATTACGCACCCGAAGACATCCTGGTCGCTCAGACAGACGTTTTATGCGTGTAAGGGGGAGAGCGGGATGGAGGAGAGGCCGGGTTGCATCAGGTCAGAGGGTAAGGTGAGTAGCTGCTCTCAGACGCCGACAACGTACAAAGTCTCTAGCCGCCCGTGACCGTAACAAGCGCCCGCATACAAGCGCCGCCGTTCTGTGGCTCTGTTCACTCTCAGCAGTGTGCACCGCTCCATGGGTTCTGTTGATGTCAACGGCGTTCTGCCGCGTTCAAGAGGTCGGACGATTGCTGTGCGTGTTTGCTAGACTCGCTACAATCGAGGATTGACCTGATGCAGAAGCTCCAGGAAGCCAATTCGCGTTGTCGTGATGTACATCACAGGCGCGATGCCAATCTACAGTGCATCGTGACTGCCAGATGTTGTTAGAAACCGCCTTGAGCAACTCTCTACATGAGGTGAACAAATTGATCTTGCGGATGATACATGCAGAAGATTGGCTTCCTCCATCGGTATACTTGGGAATGTCTATATCTTGTAGGTGGATTCACCGCCATCCGGTCCAGCGCCATGCTGGGATCATCATGTGAGGTTTGTGTACCGACGAAGTGCACCGGTTGGCAACAACCATATGAATGCCTCCGAGTTGTCAACGTCGGCTGATCGCTCACTGTCCAATGCATACAGCGGCGGAGGAGGTACCATACCAATTGGCCCTGCGGATCTCTCGACCGACCACAGTGCGGTATCTACCCGCAGCATCGCCATGTACTAGCATCATGTTTCCGAGTCAGTAATGAGCGAAACCGATATCGGTAACCTCATATATGATCCTGTGGATTTCACGTTCTGACTGTCCTTTTGCAGAACATTCACACCGGAGTGTACGCAATGCAGATCGCCAGGCCACTGGGTTCCTCACGGCTGTTCGCAACGACTCAGACGCGCCCGGGGTGACATACCTGAACGGGACACGATGATTGGCGCCATGAAGAGCTGCACGTATTCAAAAAGCCAGTACTAGCTCAGCCAGGCTCGTCGCGTGGATTCTCACTTACGTGCTCGATACGGCATACACGCGTGACGTTTCAATGACCACATTCGTCCCATGAACTCAAAACACCAGCCGAATCCGTCATAGATCTTCCAGTATCAGCGAACGCGCGGACACTCTACCGCAACTGTTCGGCTACACGACGTTGCAACGCGGCTCGCAGCTGCCTCGATGCAGTCCTATGACCGAGAGTCTCGGCTGTCGAAGCTCTTCATCGGACAAGCCTCGCTGGCAGCATGGGTAATGCGTTTAAATACCGCCAGAGTTGTTGTTGAGAGATCCCCACCGCCATCCCTCGTCCTCTCTTTTCCCTTCCTCGGTACCGGAGCCACCCAGAAAACATCACCATGCTTGACTGGGGGGCTGGTCCAAGAGAAGAAGATGCAAGTAAGGAATCTCTGCAATTATGGCACTCTGTATCGAGCCCTCATGCGCGGTCAGGTTTCGTGGCCATGTCGCCCGTAACATCCAACTCCAGCGGGCTACTCGACGTTTCAATTGAAGTTCCTGCGGAAGCAACGACGGATCGTAGGGCGCCATATCCCTTCAACAAAAACGAGGCCGATCTCATCCTCCAAAGCTGCGACAGTGTCGAGTTCTGCGTACGCAGCCATATCATGCTGGAGGCGTCGCCTGTTCTCAGAGCCACGATCTTGCGACTGGATTCAATCCGTTCGCCTTCTCTATCCCAACCAGTCCTGAACCTTGTCGAAGACAGCAAGACAATAGAGACGCTCCTTCGTATCTGCTACCCGATCCTGAACCCTCCTCTCGACGGCCCCTTACCTGAGCTCGAGACCATCCTCACGGCAGCTGTGAAGTACGAGATGGAATTCCCTATTGCCGTCCTCAGCGCCGAACTCCTTTCACGCGCTACGCAAGCTCCCCTCGCGGTATGGGCGGTGGGCTGCAGAGCTGGACTGGAGTCCCTCGCTCGGCGCGCGGCAGAGCATACCTTCTCGGCGGCCACTTTGTGCTGTGAGCGCGACAGCGACCTTGATGGGTTGGCTGCGTGGCAGCTGTTCCAGCTCAGGGAGTTCTGGCGACTGAAGGGGGAGGTCAGCGACGACTTCAGCTTTCTGAGCATTCCTGCAAAGTTGGAGACCCCGCGGGTCGACAGTCCGGAGGAGCTCGTCACTCCTGAGCAGCTGGTAGACAATGGTGATCTCACAATCTCTTCCTCAGACGGAGGATTATATGCAGCGCATGAAGACGTCATCGCATCAGCCTCACTCGTTCTGAAAGGGAAGATAGTTCATCCACGGTCCAAACCTGTGTTGTCTAAACTCAAGAAGTCGGCGAAATGCAAAAGCTGGTATGCCCCCCCCCCCCCTCCCCTCCCCTCACTCCATGCAAAATGCTTGTGCAGCTGCTGATTCGCCGATAGCATTTCAAGGACACCATCGACACTGGACCTAGAGGAGGACAGTTACACCATTCGCGCCCTTCTTCACCTTTGTTACCACGGGGGAACCACCGACTGCAAGCCTTCCAAGCTCGCCGCAATCCTCTCAGCTGGCTACAAGTACGAAATGCGGTCTGTGCTTCCTGCCCTTCGCACACAATGGACAGCGCTCTCCACGCAACAGCCGCTGCGTGCCTACCTCGCTGCCGCGAAGGCAGGGTTGCACGACGCGGCCGCGGAGTCGGCAAGACTCGTGCTTGCGCAGGGCCTCGATGGGATGTACGTCCAGGAACTCCAGACCGCCCCAGCGCTGCTGTACTATCGGTTGATGCTGTACTACGACCGCTGCCGAGCGATCGCCAGAGAGCGCCTACTGGCCGTGCGGCTCGGCGCCGAAGTTAGTGGTCGCGTTGGTCAAGATGACCTCGGCGAAGGTCGCGCCTCTCTCAATCCACTAAAGCCCGATCCCGCGTGCGAGTCCGAAGTCTGGTTCGCAGGTCGCATCGACGCACTAGTCGACATGGCTGATCATCATCCTGGCCGTATCGCGTCTCCCGCGGGATCGGTTTACGAGGATGCCACGGCAGCGAAGCAGTGGTGCGCCAGCTGTCAAGACCTTGCGGGCAGGCTGTCGACTCTCGAGCGGACGCTGCAAGAGATCGAGAAGTCAATATCCACCGTGCGTGCACCATTCAGTCTGTGTGTTCCTTGCACTCACATTCCTGAAATATCGCAGGTGCAACTCCCACTGTGACCACTCGCGTATCATGGTGCAATGCTGTACGACCTATGAGGCTACGGCCACACAGTCGAAGACTCGGAGCTTGCTGATGAGTGCACCGAGAGGTCTTGAGGTTCTAAAGCTGTGAGGGTTCGAGAGGAATTCAATGACGGTACCGGTACGATACCTGTGTGATGTCGTGGCAGGAGTTTGATTGAGTGGCACAAAAAGCTATGAGTCGGCCCAGGATCGAACTGAGGACCTTCTGTGCACGCAGGGGGGCTGTTAGACAGATGCGATAACCAGCTACGCCACCGACCCATGGTTAGCTGGTTGTTGTGATGGTGTACAGGTTTTGTGAAAAGGCGGTCCCTGTTGCAACGCGACCACGTGACGGACGCGTCTCTGCGTGCTGTGGCTGGGCAAGTTCAAGTTGGAAATGGAGACTAGTACTGGGAGCAGAAGTTGAGCAGGTTCGAGTTCAGTTCCCTCAGCAGTTGCAGTACTTAGTACTTGTGGTACTGTAAGTAGCTGGCAACGCCTGCACGTCCCTTTCGTCACTCCTTCAACCTCCCCCCTCCCCTCCCCCTTCTCTCCTTTCCCTCTCCCCCTCACGAGCCCCGTCTGTCCGCCCCTCACTGAGCCCGCCAACTCGGAACACATCCCACCCCCGGTCGCAAGCATGGGCTTTTTCAAACGCTTCCTCTCCCTCGGCAGCTCAAAGTCCAAGAAGAACAAGAAGAAACAGAACACCGTCCATGCCAAGGAGGCAGTCGACGCAGAGGGCCGCATCCTCCCCAGGGAGCTAGTCCCACAGGACCCAGACACCAGCATGAACCGTCTGCTGCGCTCTTCATCGACCAAGTTCTCTGTCATGTCCGCCATCGACTACGCCTCTTTGCCTCCTCTCCGTACGTTCGTTTCAACTCACTCGCAGCACGTGTCTCACATGCATGTTTCTACTAGCACTCCCGACCGGCGCGACTCCGAGCACGCCTTCACTCTCACCTTCGCCATCCATGCTCACCGTCGCAACCACACCCGGTGTACAGCGGACCGGCACATACGTTGTGAAGGTACACGGGCGCACCACTCTCTCTCGCACCGAGTTCCCCCGTGCGAATCCTCCTCCCTCTCCTACAAAGCAGCGCCAGGCTCCGGAACCCAAGACCCCCCGGCAGGACAGACACGATCAGTACGACGACGACGACAACGACGACAACAACGATGACGCCGCACGCGGGCCCCGCATCAAGGAAGTCAACTTCACACCCAAGGACAACTCGCGCATATACGCTCTCCGACAGGACCCCTCTGTCGTCAGCCTTCTCAAGATGTACGACGATCAGGGCTGTCTGGATGTGCACGCGTTCGCAAGCACTCCCCCGACACCAGCTCCTATTTCGACAGAGTTTGAGGGACGGGAGCCCCGTCCACGAACCGGTTCGACCCTGAGGCAACTGTTGGTCGAACCGCAGCCTGCCTTCATGACGAACAACACCACTGAAGGCGACATCTCTTGGGCAGAACGCTTCTTGGAGTAAGCGTCAATTCGTTGCGTGGGGCATAGGAAATAACACTCATATTCTGCTCACAGCGAACAGCTCAACGACGACTCTCCTCTATCTTCCCCAGCTTCCGTTGCTCTAGAAACTCCGCGTGACGCTCTTTTCCCTGACAATCTTTCTGCACCACTCGTCGCCCCCGGCGATACCACGCTCTCTTCCCACGATGCTGACTCCAGTATCAACTACCCCGCCATCTCTTCCATGGAGGTTGAGGTGAGCGGCACCGAAGAAGACGTTCTCCCGGAGGTCGCCGCAGTGTCCAAGCCCAAACCAACCGTGGAGCCCAAGACGCCCCAGCGTGCGTCTGAAGTATTCGGCTTCCTGAACAGACGCAATACCGTCACTATCAAGGAGCGCGACCTTCCTGAACTTCCTCCAGCATCACCTCTCGACAACACCGGAACAAACCACGACGACCTTATTCACGATGTCGGAACCCAGGACACCTCCCCTGAATCACCAGCACAGAACGACGCGACACACCCCGCCAACACCAGCCACTCCGCATCGAACACCTCCAGCGACACCCCGTCCCACTTCTCACACGCTCAGATCCATACCGCGACTATGACCAAGCTTTCGAGCGCGTTCGCCTCATCCACGCTCTCGCTCAACCTTCTCGTCTCCAATGACGAGACCTCGGTCCCGACTGCCGACCCTCAGCCCTCTACTACTGCTGATGTGGATGATGCAGAGGAGCTCCCGCTCCATGCCACTTCTGCGCCGACAGACGTACCTGTTCCGACGACTTTCACTGGCTCGTCTGCTTCCACCACTAATCGCGCTGCCCATCACCATACCGGCTCGTCTGCCTCTAGCGGTAGCAGTTCGAGGCTCCCGCCGAGCAGGATCCCGCGCGGACCTCGTCCGCGACCGCTGTCCACGGGCAGACGTGAAGACATAGAATTCGCAGAACCAAAGAATTTGGCGACTGCTGCCTCCGAGAACGACCAACCCTTCGAGTCCGCATCCACCACGACCGCCAACAGGACCCGCTCCGCCAAGCGCGAGGCTTTCACGAACATCCCCCAGCGCCAGCACCGGCGCATTACCTCACGCTCGTCCGAGGCCCCCAACGAGGCTGAGCGGACATCCGCATCCAAATCATCCCCACCCTCCATTCCCACCAACCCCCGGAAACGGTCCACGAAGCCCGCGCACCGCGACCTCGCGCGCACGCTCGACAAGGAGAACACACCTAGCCCTCCCCGCGCGGCCTCCCCGGGCCCCGCGGCGGCGGCGCGGTATGCGACGCCCGTGCGCGCGCGGACGCTCGTCGGGCACCTGCTGGAACGCGAGGACGCGTACACGCAGGGCCCGCCGTCGCCCGCGTCGAGCTCGGAGCTGTCGCCCGTTGCGCAGGACATGATGAGCAACCTGCGGATGCAGCGGATGCGCGCGCGGCAGGTTGAGCGGCGGAAGGGGATGTGGGTGCGCGAGTGAGTGCCCCACAAAGAGACTCGGGCTCGGCCGCGGACTTGGTAGCTAGTGTAGTGGATTGCCACTGCCAGATGGACGTTTGTTTTCGCTCTGGGCTTTGGGATGTTTTCGCTTGCAACAAGCGCGCCGTGTTTCGTTTCGTTTTTCTTTCGTGATGAGTATCTCGTTCCTGTAGCCTGGTGCTGTTACACTGATCCGGCTCGAATCCCGATGAAACAGCTTGAACACCGTCACTACCTGCGTAGCTGTCATCAGCTGCAGTCGGGACGTGCACAGCAACTCGAACTATGGGCCATCCAGTTCCCAGATCTCAGATCTCAGACCTAGAGCAATTCAGCGTGCCTCGTAGGAGAACGTTCAGAACGGTCAACGCGCACGGAGGTGAAGTCCTTGTTTTTGTATGCTACTGTGCAGTTGGTATGTGTACAGATGTGCGCCTCCAACTATGGAGACCCACTTCGATGGAGGGGAATCACGAACGTCTAGGAGTATAAATCTACGTCAGCACGAGCAACCCACCGAGACCCTTCAGACAGCACAAAGCAAAGCGTCCAGCTTATCACAATCTACAACACCCTCCAGCAAGCGCCGCGGCGAGCGACGACGGCCTACGCCACCGCCCTCTCGCACATCTGCACGACGAGGTCCTCGCACGCCCTGTACGTCTCCACGAGCCCCGCGTACATGCGTTCGCGCTCCCACTTCGGCTCCGCGACGCACCGCCTCCTCTCCCCGCCCTCGCCCTCGCCCTCGCCGTCCATCGCGCGCATCTCCTCAAACGAGCCCACCCCGCCGTTCCGCGCGCGCCACCGCGCATACCGCGCGAGCTGCGCGCCGCCCTCCGCCGCGCCCTCCGCGCCCGCGACGAACACGCGCATGCCGAACACGTCCGCGGCGGCCTGCTGGATGACCGGGTTGCGCGAGGAGCCGCCGCTGAGCACGAGCCGCTGCAGCGGCGGCGCGTCCGGCGGGAGGATCGCGGTGATGCGCGAGCGGATGGAGAGGAATTGGGACTCGAGGATCGCGCGCGGGTGCGCGGGACGCGGCATCGAGGCTTCGGGGAGGGCGGTGATGGAAGATTGGGAGGATGGGGAGGATGGGGAGGGGGAAGGGGAGGTGGAGAAGAAGAAGTTGCCCTGGACGTTGGGCGGGATGATCTCGGGGAGGGGGAAGTAGAAGCCCATGTAGCCTTCGTTGCCGACCGGGCGCGCCTCGACAAGCTCGTTGAAGCGCGTCCAGTGCCCGTCCGCGTACTGGTCCCGCACCTGCTCGCGCGCGAGCGCGCCGTTCTTGTAGCACAGCATCGCAATGTGCGCGTCCGGCGTCGTCGGGTGCGAGAGCAGGTGCGACGTCGTGAAGCGCTTCGGGGCCGTCTCCGCGGGCGGGATCGACAGCAGGAGGGTCGTGGAGGTGCCGAGGGACAGGATCGCGTCGCCCGGCGTCGAGAGCGCGACGACCGTCGCGGGGTTGTCTCCCGTGAACGGCGCGACGCCGCATTCTGTCGTGGCCGCGTTAGCAAGTTGCTCTGAGAATGACAGGCGAGGCTCGCTCCCCCCCTCTCATCGCTCACCTGGATTGAACCCCCAGCGCTGCACCCAGTACGGGTGCACCTTGCCCAAGAAAGTCCCGCCGGGCGCGGGCTCGGGCCCAATCTTAGCGCGCAGCTCCGGGCCGCCAGCCGCCTCGAGCAGGCGGTCGTCCCACTCACACGTCAGGACATTCATCAGGTTCATCCCGCTCGCGTCCGACACTTCGATCGGCGCGATAGAGCCGAGGAAGAGTGAGGGCATGAACGACGACACGAGCGAGATGCGCGCGGTGGCGCGGTACGAGTCCGGGTCTGTTCGGCGGATCTGCACGGACGGATGCGGTCAGCATTCAGTGCTGCGAAGCAGGAGGGACAGACGAGACGAGGACGTATGAATGGCTCTCGGGATGATGCGCACGCGTGAACTTCGGGAGAAAGTCAAAAGTATCAAGGTGATTCAAGTAGAGGCAGTGAAGGACGCGGTGCGTGCGGGACGAAGGAACGAGAATGTACGGGTGACGCAAAGGCTCACCTTGGCGATCTGGTTGGCGGTGAATCGCTCGTACGCCCTGCTGCCGGTGAGGTCAGCAAGGGCCTGCGCCCCGCCGATGGCAGCTTCGAGCTCGCGGCACTCGCGAGTAGTCGAGGAGTCCTGCCAGATGGGCGCACGCTGAATGGAGAATGCTGCAGGAGAGAGCTGCTCCGCAAGTGGGCGAGAGGAGTCAAGTGAAGCAAGCAGACGCTCTGCCTCCGTTGACCAGTACACGGATCCGTGTTGCTGGAGG